TCTGTGGAATGTTCCCCTACTTCTGCATTTACCTGAAAACTGATCCTGCTTTGCCAGTGGAAAGGAGGGAGTTATTTGGAAATGGTTATGTACCAGGAAAGTGTCTGCACTTGAAAATTTTTGAAAATCTGGACTTTTTGAAAGGAATTAGGTCAACAATTTGGAACTAATCTCTCTTTTTAACATTCATTTTTTTGAGTTCCAAATTCTTTCCCTCCTTCCAGCTCCTCCCCCATCCACTGAGAAGGCAAGCAATATAATATCTACTATACATGTGAAGTCATGCAAAATATATTTTCATATTAACCATGTTGCAAAAAAAAAATGAAAAGAAAATGAAAAAAATAGGATTCAATCTGTGCTCAGAATTTATTAGTTCTCTCTTTGGAGATGGAAATCATTGTTTATCATGAGTCCTTTGGAATTGTTATGGACCATTGTATCGATCAGAGTAGTTTCATTGTTCACAATTGATGACCCTTACAATGTTACTGTTACTGAGTACAGTGTTCTGGTTTTGCTCACTTCACCTTGCATCACTTTATATAAGTCTTCCCAGGTCTTTCTAAACCCATCTTCCTTGTCATTTTTTATAGCACAATAGTATTCCATTACTATCATATACCACAATGTTTAGCCATTACCCAGTTGATGAACATCCCCTCCATTTCCAATTCTTTGCCACCACAAAAAGAGAAGTTATAAACGTTTTTGTACATATAGATCTTTTCACTTTTTCTTTGATTTGGTGCTAATCTCTAATACAGTTTGAATTCAAAAGTCATGGTTCTTTTATGAGATAAGTAGGAAAGTCAAAACTAGAAAATGAATTTGGGATCAAGATAGCTCCAAGATACATGTGGTAACCATGGTGTGGGAAGGAAGCAGTATGTCCTAAGCAGTATGTACAGGACCACGTCAGAAAGTCTGCTGATAACAGGGTCATAAATTTAGAGCTGTAAAAGTCTTTAAAAGTAATCTAATCTAACCCCCTCATTTTATAGATGAGGCCCAGAGGGGTTATTACTTTCCGGAGATAACATGGATAAACAACAGATCCAGGATTAGAAATCAGGTTCTCTGGACACTTGAGGTTGGAGAATAAACATATCCTCCAAAATGAAAGAATGAGACTCTTCTACAGTCATAAGAGGGCACAAAGAAAGGATCAGATTATCCTAATTCTAGGTAATTGGAAGTCAGTGAAGTAATTTGTGTCCAAGTAATAGGATGACCAAGTAAGAGAGGTCATTCCCCTGACCTGGAGGCTAAGTCGGCTTTGGGAGGATGTCCTCTCAAGAAGCTCTGACCAAAGTTTTGGGAAGATGATGGAGGAAGAGGTCTCAAAGAGCCTGGATCTTCCTCATACACCCCCCTCCCCCGCCGTCATCAATGGATTTTTCTAAAGAGAGGCCTTCAAATAAATAAGAGAGAAAAGAATGGGAACTACTAAATAAGAGAATTGGCAGTTAGGTGGTGTAGTGAATGGAGCGCTAGACCTGGAGTTCAGAAGATCTGAGTTCAAATCCAGCCTTGAACTTGCTAGCTGTGTGACCCTGACAAAGTCACTTAACCTCTGTCTGCCTCAGTTTCCTCATCTGGGAAATGGGGAGTAATAATCGCCTCTGAGGGTGATTTCGAGGATAAAAGGAGATAATATTTAGAAAGCACTTGTCAAACTATTAGAATGGCCTCTTATGTAAGGGAAAGTAAAGGTTAAGGCAAAAAACAAACACAAAGGAGGAAAACTCCCTTTGTTATGACAAACAAATGTTCTGAATTAAAAGATCTTGAAGAGAAAACACTAGAAAGAAAAAAAAGTTCACTTTAACAATGGTCCAAGAAATGAAATTGGATCATAAGTACAAAACACACTACGTTAGATAATAATCATTGTAAAAGAAATGAAAGATGATCCGATATCACTTAAGATGTTGGTTTAAGAAAAAAAAATCTGGCTTTTGTAATAAGAAACAAATCACTAGTAAAATGTAGTAAGACATACCGATAACAAACATGGAGAAAAGCATGTGTGTTTGATTGGTTATGTTTATTGGTTTCTTAAAAATTGATCGATTCTTGAATACCCATTTCAATGTGTACATGATCTCATTGTCAATGTCAATACCTCCACTGGTATAAATAGCAGCCCATTCATACCTTTGACTCCTGTAAGATTTTCATCCGTATTTCCCCACAAATCCTCCACAAGATGCACTGTGCTAGATATGGGGAGGTGATTAGGTGGCACAGTGGAGAGAGCACTGGTGCTTTGCAGTGGGCTTCCCTCTGTTCCTCCTGAGCCTTGGCCTTTGCATATTTGTTTGGCAGCCCAAAATACAGTGGCACTTCCTGAGCCAAAGTTCATGGAACTTTAACAGCTGCTACTAATGTACTGTGTAAATTTGGGCAAGTCACGTCTCATCAGGCCTCAGTTTCCCCTTCTGTAAACTGAGGGGCTTGCTCTCTGTGGTCTCCAAGGTCCATTCTAGTTCTGATGTTCTATACTTCTTGTGCCCATTTCTTCCCTGTGAAACTTGCTTATTTATGGTCAGCACTGATCAAAGGCAGTCCTGAAAGGAGACAGTTCTAGAACCTTGGTACCTGTAGTTCATGGTCATCTGCAGAGTATATTTCACCCCTAAAGTATTTACCCCTTTACTCTTTCATCTCATCCTTAGTATTCCTATGAAGTAGGTAGGGCAGGGTTGAGGTAGGGAAGGAACTTTCTACCTTTCCCCCAGGCCTCTTTTAGGTCACCTTATGTAGTTATTCATCCTTGCTCTGAGTCCACATAGTACATGTGTGATCTCATTTGGGGGTCACTTCACCTCTTGGGGCCTCAATTTCTCATCTATAAAATGAAGGGGCTAGACTAGATGACCTGGGCTACCTTCTGGTTCTAAATACCATTCTTTATAGTTTACTTTCCAAATGGTGCCCTTGTAGATGGTACAGTGTCTTCTAATAACCACTGGGAGTATGGAAGTGTCTCCTCTATTAAGTTAAGGCTGGTTTGGTTAGTAATAACTCATTACAACCTCTGTTGAAAGCTATTCCAACTTGATGGTACTAAATCTAGGTAATCCAGTGTGCCTTGCTGGTCCCACGTTTTGCATCTGTGGAGGCGGTTTAAATGCAATACTATTATTTCAAGTATTTTTTTATTAAGCACCTACTAAGGGTAAGGTGCTGTGGAATATACAAAAATGAATTCAATCTAGTAGGAGAGATAAGCTACCACTAACTATACTACCAGACCCTATTTATAAAGTGCCACAAAGTGAAGGAAAAGAGGTATTAAGTTCAGTTGAAGGAGACATCACTTTTACCTTTGGGGTGGGGGAGGAATGGGGTGAGGTTGGGGCAAGTGAATCACTTGCATTTACCTAGTTTAAGTAAATAATGTGCAGTTCCTCCATGGATGGGTGTGGACAGGCTACTGCAAGGAGCTAACCATTTCCTTTTTGTGTGGAATTACCAGAATGGCAGATGTAGGGCATACATCTTGGACAGTTTCATGAATCCATAGCTTAAGGATCCATGAATTTCCTCAGTATGGATGCCCCCTTCACCAACACAGATTTCTGCTCTAATGCTAGTTAGGTAGCCTTTGAGAGTTGCTGTGGCTGAAAAATCCAATATTATGTGGACTTGATCTGGAAATACTGGAGTGGTTTGCCATTTCCTTCTTCAGTTCATTTTACAGATGAGGAAACTGAAGCAGGGTTAACTGACTTGCCCAAGGTCATACAATTGGTAAATGTCTGAAGCTGGATTTGAATTCAGATCTTCCAGGTCCAACACTGTATCCACTGTGCCACCTAGCTGCCTCCAATCTTACAAATAGGATGTGCAAATCTTACCTTGAGGAAATGTGGCTGGGCCCCCAGGGAATGACATATTATGTTTGTTTCTGATTTTATATCAAGGTGTATGATTTGAAGAGTGTTCAGTACTGTTCTCAAATAGGTGAGGACTCTGCAACTTGTGCTCCTACCCCTGATCATTGACCCCTCCCCTCCCCTTCTCCCCAACACCACTGGGACAATTTTATTTTTAGCTTAGGTAATGGCTCAAATCTAGAGTTTCCCCAAGAAAGTACTAAATATACAATATGAAGGGACAACTACATGGTGTAGTGGATAGAGCATTGTCCCTGGAGTCAGGAGGATCTGAGTTCAAACTGGCCTCAGACATTTACTAGCTGTGTGACCCTGAGCAAGTCACTTAACCCCTATTGCCTCCAAAAAAACAGAACAAAATATGCAATATGAGTATGGCACGATGGAACAAGTAATTTATTTCTATACACAAAAGAAGTGCTATATACCAGAAGTGTAAATTATGTGAGTGAGACCGGAACCAGATGAAAATTTAATTGGCAAATATTTAACAAAATAAATACAATAAAACAAAGATAATATTAATTTGTGGTTTTCAAAGTCAATATGCAGCTCATAGGGATCCTTATGTATAGGTTTACCAGCCAGTTCCTACTTGAGTTTAATACCACTGCTATATTTAAGACACACATTCAACAGAAACAAATTTAAGACTATTTTCAATAACAGCTAGTAATTACTGTTACAATCAGCTGGGAAGCTGACATTTAAAGCATCATTAGCACATAGAGGAGTTTTCATGGGTAGCTGGAGTCCCAAAGCCCATTGGTATGGGACTCTATCCTCATTGGTGGATACCAAAGACTCAAGCTTTCATGATGGGGGAATGGAATTGGCAAGAGTGGGAGAGAGGAGAGTGCCAGGTTCTCTTTGAGTTTCTTCATTCTCTTTGGGTTCTGCAGTCACTTTGGGTGCTTCTGACTTCCAGCTTCAAAAGAGAAGATAGAAGAGGCCAACGCCACTTCAGGTTGCTCAAGAAAAAGATTTTGGGAAGAAGCTGATAGGACAGGAGTGGGGAGTCTCTGTCATGTCCCTACCCCCAGCTTGATACACTAAAGACTTTGGGGAGTTTCCCCTTGGGTGAGATCTGGGACTCTCTTTTGGTCAAGGTGAGTTACCCAATGGGAGAGCGCCTTCGTTCTGTATTGTTTGGTATATATTCTCCTAACTGTACTTTCTTTTTTTAATTTGGTGGGGCAATTGGAGTTTAAGTGACTTGCCCAGAGTCACACAGCTAGTGAGTGTTATGTGTCTGAGGCCGGATTTAAACTCAGGTCCTCCTGACTTCAGGGCTGGTGCTCTATGTACTGTGCCACCTAGCTGCCCCGCTAGATGTACTTTCTCTGATTTCTATTTTGCTACTGACTTGGATAAATGTGTTTCTTTTCTACTTAGTAGGTATATTCACTGTTGAACTGGTGTTTGGTGGGAGGGAGTAAAAGCTTAAGTGTTTTTTTCTCCATTCATGAACAGTACTCATGCACAATTAATATTTCTCCAGTTATTTAAATCTGATTTTATTTGAATAAAAAGGTTTTTTTTTAAATAATTTTGTTGTATAGTTCCTGGGTTTGTTTTGGCAGATGTACTCTCAGGTATTTTATACTGTCTGAAGTTATTTTAAATGGGGTATCTCTTACCATCTCTTCTTGCAGGGTTTTGTTGATGATATATAGGAATGCTGATGATTGTGTGGTTATAGGGGTTTACTTTATATCTTGCTACTTTGCTATAATTATTAATTGTTTCACCTAAGTTTTTTAGTTGAGTCTTTGGGATTTTCCAAGTATATCATCATATTGTCTCCAAAAAAAGTCACAGTTTTATTAACTCATTGACTATTCTGATTCTCTCTACTCCTTTTTCTTGTCTTATTGTTATTGCTAGTATTTCCAATACACTATAGAATAATATTGGTGACAGTGGGCATCCTTGTTTCATGCCTGATCTTACTTCTAGCTTATCCCCATCACAAATATTGCTTGCTGATGGTTTTAGATAAATGCTTTTTATCAATTTAAGGAAAAATCCATTCATACATATACTTTCAATTGTTGTTTAATAGAAATGAGTGTTGCACTTTTTCAAAAGCTTTTTCTGCATCTACTGATGTAATCATATGATTTGGTTTTTTTTAATTGATACAATCAATTATATTAATAGTTTTCCTTTTGTTAAACCATCCCTGAATTCCTTGCATAAATCTCACTTGGTCACCATGTATAATCTTTTTAATGTATTACTGTAATCTCCTAGCTAGAATTTTATTTAGGATTTTTACATCCACATACATTAATGAAATTGGTCTATAACTTTCTTTTTTGGTTTTTTACTCTTCCTGGTTTAGGTATCAGCACATATTTGCTTCATAAAAGGAGCTTGGTAGGACCCCTTCTTTGCCTATTATTCCAAATAAATTATTTAATATTGGAATTAGTTGGTCTTTAAATGTTTCATAGAAGTCACTTGTAAATCCCTCTGTGCAAGCTTTTCTTCTTAACAAGCTCATTTACAACCTATTCAATTTCTTTTTCTAAAATAGGTCTATTTAGATATTCTATTTCTTCTTCTGCTAATCTAGGCAGTTTATATTGTTGTAAATATTCACCATTTTGCTTAAATTGTTAAATTGATTGGCATACAATTGGGCAAAATAACTCCTAATAATTGCTTTGGTTTCATCTTCATTAGTAGTATGTTCACTCTTTTTATTTTTAATACTAATGATTTGGTTTTCTTCTTTCTTTTTTGATCATATTAACCAACAAAAACCAACTTCTAGTCTTATTAATTCAATGGTTTTTTTATGTTCAATTTTATTAATTTAACCTTTAATTTTTAGGATTTCCAATTTTTTAATTGGGGATTTTTAATATGTTCTTGATATATTTTTAAAATTGCATATCTAGTTCACTGGTTTGTTATTTCTCTATTTTATTGACGTAAGCATTTAGAGACATACTTCTCTAATTACTGCTTTTGCTGCCTCCCATAGGTTTTGATATGTTGTTTCATTATTATCATTCCCTTTAATGAAATTATTGATTGTTTCTATGATTGGTTCTCTAACCTACTCATTCTTTAAGGTTGTTTAGTCTCCAATTAGTGTTTATTATATATTCTATGGTTCTTTATTGAATATAATTTTTATTGTATTGTGATCTAAAAAGGATGCACTTAATACTTCTGCTTTTCTGTTTTTTGTTATAAAAATTGTATGCCCTAATATATGGTCAGTTTATGAAGGTATATTCTTTTCTAATCCTTTTCAGTGATCTCCAGATATCTATCATATACAGCTTATCTAAAATTATATTCACTTTCTTGACTTCTTTCTTATTTATTTTTTAGTTAGATTTATCTAGTTCTAAGAGGGGAGGATTGAAGTCCCTCACTATTATAATACTATTGTCTATTCCTACCTGTAATTCATTTAACTTTTCTTTTAAAAATTTAAACACTGTAGTATTTGGTGCATATAGGCTTAGTATTGATATTGCTTCATTGTTCATGGTACTTTTTATCATAACACAGTTTCCCTGTTTATCTTTTTAAATTAAATCTATTTTAGCTTTAACTTTATCTGACATCATGATTGCTACCACTGCTTTTTCAATATCACCTGAAGCATAAGAAATTCTACTCCTGCCCTTTATTTTAACTCTTCATGTATCTCTCATATTTAAATGTGTTTCTTGTAAACAACATATTGTGGGATTCTGATTTTTAATCCATTCTGTTATCCTTTTACATTTTATGGGTGAGTTCATCTCATTCATATTCAAAGTTAAAATTACTATTTATATGTTTCCCTCCATCTTATTTCCTCATTATTGTCCCTCAGCCTCTCTTTTTACCCTATCCCTCCTCACACATCTAGTTTACTTTTAACCACTACTTCCCTAATCCATACCTTTTAAAAGAATCCCTCCTTAATCCTTTCCCCCACACCTTCCTAAATCTGAATCTATAAACCCTTCTAAAAGTCCCTCCCTTATCCTTTCCCCTCACCCTCTTATTTCCTTATAAATTTAGAAGACTTTTATACTCTTCCAGATGTATATATTGTTCCTTCTTTAACCCAGATATGATGACGGTAAGGTGCCAGCCCTCCACATGTTTCCTTTGTATTAGTTCTTTCTTTCACGCCTTAATTGAATGAGATAATTACTCCTTTCTACCTTTTCCTACCCAGTTTTGTTTTTTAGAATCATCTCATCATATTCAGGTAAACCCCAACCTTTCTTTCAAACTACCCAAGTAATAGGGACAGCTTTAAGAATACTGAAAACGTGTTTATATATAAGAAGTAAACAGTTTGACCTTATTGAGTCCCTTATAATTGGTCTTAATGTTTACCTTATATTTCTTCTGGATTTTATATGTCAAAATTTTCATTGAATTCTGGTCTTTTTGTCACAAATACCTGAAAGTTTTTCAGTTTGTTAAATGTCTTTTGTTTGTTTTTTTTTTTGGTTTAGGATTATACTCAACTTTACTGGGTAAGTTATTTTTGGTTGCAACCTCAGCTCTCTTGCTCTTCAAAATACAATGTTCCAAGGCCTATGGCCTTTTAGTGTGGAAGCTGCTAGGTTTTCTCTAATTTTGATTGTAGTTTTGCAGTATTTAAATTGTTTTTTTTTTTCTTTCTTGATTGTAATATTTTCTCCTTAACCTGGAAGCTTTGAAACTTAGCTATGATATTCCCATAAATTTTCAGTATGGGCTCTCTTTCAAGTGGTGATTGGTGGATTTTCTTCTATTTCTACTTTACTATCTTGTTCTAGAACTTTAGGGCAATTTTCCTTAATAATTTCTTATAATATTGTGTGAAGGTTTTTTTTTTATCATAACTTTCAGGGAGTTCAACAATTCTTATCTTGTCTCCCTTCTACGTGTTCTCCAGATCAGTTGTTTTTCTAATGAGATGTTTCACATTCTCTTCTATTTTTTCATTTTTTAAAATTTTGTTTTATTATTTTATGGTGTCTTGTAATATCATTCACTTTCCCTCTCCCAATTCTAGATTACAAGAAATTATTTTCTTCCTTAAGTTCTTGGATCTCTTTATCTAATTGGTTAACTCAGTTTTCATAATTTTCTTGATTTTTCTTGGATTGCTCTTATTCTTTTCATAGTTTTCCTTGAATCTCTTTTACTTGATTTTTGAATGCCTTTTTAAGTCCTTCCAAGAACCCTTTTTGGGCTTGTGACTATTTGATGTTTCTCTTTGCGGTAGGAGTGGTTTTGTGTGTTTGTTTGTTAACTATCTTCCTTTGAATGTGAACTCAGAGCTTTTCTATCCCAATAGTAGTGGTCTGTGGTTGGGTTATTTCTCCTTTGCTTACTCATTTTTGTTTTGTTTTATTTTATTTTAGCATCTTATTATTGTAATCAGGTTCTAGTCCTGAGGTGTGGGTAATGGTGCCCCAGGCTTCAGGTCCCTCTTACTG